AGGTCGATAATGGTGGGCTTATAGACTAGTAGTGGAAAATACATTGTAGCTGTATTATTTAAAATAATCGAAAATTCAAAAGATGGCTATGAATTTAAACGTCAAACTTGACGATCAGGAAAAAAGTTGTTGAAGTAAAAATAATTTAATAGAAAAACAAACAACTTAAACAACAGAAATAACATACAATTTACACTGATAAGTTATAGAAATTGTTCAAAATGATCACCGTTTTCTCTCAGGCATNAATGGCACTCTTCTCTACCGTGGTTTATATAGTATTTTTTCCACTACTAGCTACTACATCTTAAAACGAGTTTTATGCAGTTTTACGAAATTTGAATAAATACTCTAAAAACGCTGAAAGCATGTACAAGAATCAAGTGGGTAGGTACTCTTTTGTTTAAAATCAAACTTTGTGACATTTCACACAAATAAATTGGCAATTAATTTGACATTCCGCACAAAGAAATTTGCAATTAATTTAATTTAAAGCTATAAATCATAGAAAGTGAATGTGAAATGGGCTGCACATTCCCTGAAGTGAGGCAAATGGCAGAGAATGCTGATGACCAACTCCTGCCAGAAAAGTCGAAACATCTTTACGTAAAGCATACACAGTTTTTAAAGATTGGTGTCTGTTGTCAAAAAATGTCGTCAATACCTCAGGAAATGTCCTACTAGCATACTCTAAAGAGCACGAGGATAATAAAAAGGCATCCAGTCTACGGTGTACTTTTTCAATGTTAAAGGCAACCCTAAAATTAAAAGAAAATATTGACCTTGGAAGATATAACTGACAAGTGTCAAAATTATTAAGTGTCATTTTCATTATTTACCTTGGTTAATAAATCATTATTCACCCAGGTCAAAAAGATAGAAGTTTACGCGTCAAAGATAGGTCGATAATGGTGGGCTTATAGACTAGTAGTGGAAAATACATTGTAGCTGTATTATTTAAAATAATCGAAAATTCAAAAGATGGCTATGAATTTAAACGTCAAACTTGACGATCAGGAAAAAAGTTGTTGAAGTAAAAATAATTTAATAGAAAAACAAACAACTTAAACAACAGAAATAACATACAATTTACACTGATAAGTTATAGAAATTGTTCAAAATGATCACCGTTTTCTCTCAGGCATTCTTCGTCGAAAGTCTACTCTAGAACTGCTAATTGTAATGCGATTTCACAATTCTACTCGAGACGCAACTGGCGAGGAATACACAAATTATTTTTGTTCCCCAAAGAAAGAAGACACATTTGTCTCTAACGATATTACTAAAATGAGGGGGTGCTTCATCATGCTTAAACCAATGTTCCAGTCTGAGTTGTAGACGCACCTCCTCAAGTAGATTCGGGAGTGTTTTGGAGAAATTCTAAAGTTTCACCTAACTGAGATATACATTTTTTTCGAAATTTGAAACTCCACTTTCAAGGCCTATAACTTCTCAAGGGTGCAGCTTAGTATAAGAGTAAGTTGCGTTAAATCACCATATTTTGGGTTCCCCTATATGCCCCAGCTCTGTGTAGGTTCTTATGCGAAACACTCTATATGTAAATGTATATTTTAATTTTACTAATCTCCTATTTTTAATTGAGTAATGTTCACTCAACTATTTATCTGTCATATTGGTTTACAACACCTAATAGAACTAAAATCAATTCTTGATTACAACTAAGTAAATGTATTTGTTGTCTGTCCAAACTCCGCATCGTAGGAGGACTAGTGTATGGTAGCTTTTTAGGGTTGTTGTTTATGATAGCTTAAGAACTGTGTACCTTTTGAGGATTTCGCCATAGGTAGAATTGACCTAGGCGAGCAGCTTGAGGCGCTGTGTGAGCTTTAAGTTCGTATAGATTTTGAGCATGTTACAATGTATTTGACACGAGATATTATAGTTATAAACATTTGCATATAGAATAGTTTTACAAATTTTGATCGTGCTGCAAGCACTGGCCAGGCACCCATCCCTAGTTATTATTATATCCGCCAATTACCGGAGTTGACGTTCCATCGCACCCACCGCAGCTTCTACGTGCGTCTCTCTTCTTCGTTTTAGGGCGGCTTCCTGACCCCTACCTGGATTCCGAGTCTAACTTTTTTTGCATCTCGGAAATGTGGGCTGCTACGTGGGGGGTAGTTTAGGATGCATTAACCGGTTTTTGTAAGCGTACGGCGGGAAGATCGGTGAAAACGTCTAATTCCCGCGTTGCATTATTCTGAAAGGAGCTGTTAACCGCATCAGTCTTCGTCAACGTCGACTATTACGGATATCGTTTTGAGGGCGCTTGGAGCGGTTTTTGAGCGCGACGACGGGATTTTGGAAAGATAGGTGAAATTTCCAATTTTCGCTGTGCAGGAGCTATAGGTGCTTTGCAACATTATCCTTAACCCTGGCTAAACGATCGATTTGGTTTGAAACAGTTTTTTTCGGCTTTATGATCTCGAATAGAAAGTGCAGTGAATTGTCGAGGACTACCACCACGCACGTTCAACATAGCTACTCACAATTAAGCACCAAAAGACAATTAAAAACCTAAAATAAATGAATAATCGTTCGATTACAGGCAGCTCTGTTTCTCTCTTTTCTGTTTACTACAAAGAAGCAACATACTATTTACGGCCACAATTTTTTACCTTTGGGACGATTCCAGTACCTAGTTCTCAAAAAGTTTCACTGTTTTTATTATTATTTTAAGTCCCGCTAACAACCATGTCCTTAATAAAATTTCGTAATACTGTCAAATCTTTTCTGTTGAAACACTGTTTTTATCGTGTTGACGAATCGAATTTTAATTAATGTAAGCCATAACCACATAACATACTTTGTACGTATGTATAATATTATATTATTATTGAGTTCAAATGTACTTTTTTGTATATAAAGTGGTCAAGTGGTAAGTAAGTAAGTAAGTAACGATTTTGGTTATTGAAAATGCTTTTTATAAATGCATTTTATCTACCACTAAAAAATCCTCTCCAACTTTGTAAACAACCTACACATAATTACTATAATATTAAATTGATATGTTTTGCTTTATTCAAACAAGTTTTATATAAAAAAAAAAAAGATATAATAATTTAAATTCTCGGGAATATGAATATATGTATTTCACGGACACGCAGTACACAAGTGTTGGTTGTTCAAAATGTTGGCGACAAACGTCCACACGATTTTCTTTCTGTTGTTCGGTCATCAAACCAGGAACAAATTTTGCTGCAACTCGATGCATGTGCAATTATTTGGTCAAAATTTTTCATGGTATCACCAAACTGAGATTCTAAACTCTTCTGCAATTTCTCTGGCAGTCAAGCGAAAATTTGCACACTTCAGATCTTTGACTTTTTGTACGTGGGACTCATTAGTTGAAGTCGAAGGCCATCCTGATCGAAGATTATCTGCAATGACTGACTTCTTGTTTTAAAAGTTGAAACGTTTCCGTGATAGTTTTCCTCAGTTCACGCAAAATTGTACGTTGCATCGTTGTACTCAAATAACAATATCACGAAAACTAAATGAGATATTAATATGAGATAGAAGGTTGTGCGCAACGCAGTCCTGCCAACCACATATCACTAAATATCTCCATTAATACGTAATTCAAGCGTAATAATAAAGTTCATTTATTTTCTGAACAAACCTCGTATACGTATACGAAAGTAAAAATTTTCGGACAAGTAAGACACATCATTTATTACAGACTGTTAATTAAGTACGTACACAAACTTTAAGGGGTGAATGTTTTGAGAGATATTAAACCAAAAAGGTTAAATATAAACATAGATCCGCAAAACCCCAGAAGTTTGACGCCACTAAATATTTTGAAAATTCTTCCATAAAAGTTTCCATAAAAAAGATGTCTTTCATTTTATTCAAAAAACGAACTATTTTCTATTTATTATATGTTCTTTCATTTACATTAAACCTAATTCTAGAACCACTTGTTTCGCAAGAAAAACATATGATTTTTGTTTTGTAAATATACAATTTTAAATACGACGTAATCATGACAAGTCTGAGAACATAATCGGCCAAATTCTTTTTTATTTTTATTTTTTAGGACATTCCTTGCTACTTCTAACGAAGTACAAAATTTCTATGTAATTGAATGTTTTCAAACTTGTCATAATTAGTTTTTATTTAAAATTTTTTAAACTGTGTTTCTAGCAAAAAATTCTGGTGACCTTTCTTGAGAAACGAGTAGAATTAAATTTTAATAATCTGTCATTATAAAGTGATTGTAGAAAAAAATATTTTTCGAAATTAATAATTACACTAGAAAATAATTCATTATTTTAAATGTGTAAATTTATTATTATCCACAGATTAAAAATGACAATGAAATACAATAATTTCAAACCAATTTGACACATTTATAATCAGAAAAATAAGGGATAATAAAACATAATAAAACGTAAATAAAATTTAAAAAAATACCTATTTACAAGTAAATTATTATTAGCCCGATAGAGCTAGACATTATTCATAATGCTCGCACATTATTAATACTGCCCGCATTAATCACCTGGTCCATAACATATACATTTTGTTTCAAATTAAGTTTCTTCAAATTTTTTTTCTATCCATATGTAAAAAGTTAAGGAAAGATTAGATGTTGCATTAACAAAAATGAAGACAATAGACGCAAATCTCCAAAAAAAATTGGAATACTTATATTCATAATTCCATATATCCATATATCACAAGGGGTACAAGTAACAAGTAAACATCATTATTCAGTTTGCATAGCAACTGGAAAAATAGATATAGAAAAACCAATGACACATTTTTTTTCTCAATAAACTTATTGTTAGTTACGTTCAAAATTCACTGAAACGTTTATTTTTTTATAAGCACCCATGTTAAAGTACTTATAATCCTATATCAACACCATGTCGAGAACATCAAAATAAATAACACTGTTGTGTTAAAACAAAGTCACAGACTACCTTCTTTCAAGAAATATGAACAAAAAAAAATATTAAAACACTCACCATACAATACAGCATTATCTACTAGTTGTAAGTAACATTGAAGAACGACATATAAAATACATAAATAGCCTCGCCATTGGCACATAATCTCCAAGTATTTATTGGTAATACCTTAATAAACTGAACCAACACTGACCACCGCCGCGATTAAACGCAAACTGACTAAAAATATACGAATAAACAAAGTTGTTTAGCCGGATAATCATCATAACTCTTGATGATAATTATTTAAATGCGCAAGCTCATTATGTCTATATTTATTTTCTACTCTATTTGTATACAGGGTGTCCCCATTTTATGTATGCATGGAACCGCTACAAATTTCTTAAGTTCACAATGAAATGTTTTAACTTAACTTACCTCTATCCAGAGTTGCTTCGTTTAGTCGCTAGAATGTATCGAAGTTGGCAAAAAAAATAAGTTTTTCCAAATAACTCTAAAATGGTTTATCTAATTTAAACGAAATTTCGAATACTTAGTAGTACTTATGCACTGAAGTCACATTTTGATATAGTAACAGAAATAATTACATATACAGGTTGTTACAAATTCGCTTCTCACTACAGGGATCTCGAAAACGGTAAGAGATACAAACTAGCTTAAATGGGGGCAAAGTTGCGTAGGCAGGGGACCAACATTATGCCTCTAAAAAATCAAGGCTAACATGATTAGTTTTCGAAATATTTGAAAAAAAACGAAATTTTAGAAATCCGTTTTTGTTTAATTTCAGCCTTGTATGAGGTGATATTGAAAAAAGAACATTTTCTCATGGCCACATTTTGGCCTCTATCAAATGGCATAATCAATTTTTATATGTAACGTTTCGTCTCTCCAGGACCATCATCAACTTCATTTTCTTAAATACGACCATGGAAATTGTATTACATTTTTTGCAAGCCTTCATGACCCCCAATACTGTCTGCCTACAGCTAGGGTTTGCAATCCCGCATTCCGCGTTACAGCATTCCAGCAATTTCCCGCATGTCAATGAGACCTGCGGAATTCCCGCATTTGTGCGGTAATTCCCGCGCGGGAAATTTTTGAATAGAACACGTCCGTTTAGCGACATAGCGCATGGCGCGCGCGAGCGCCCCGTTTGGTTTGCGTGCGAGAAAAAAAGTGTTTACAAAGTAAAATTTTATATATAACTAATAGTTTTGTCTTCTTGTATGTTACTTTAATTATACTATACTGCCCTACTTCGGAAAAAGACCGTATATGCAGTTTTGTGACAAATTGAGAAAATTACATTTTTGAAATCTATATCGCATTATACATTACCCATCTATAAATATCAAAAATATCGTTTTTGTTTCTTTAAATTTAAAAATTTGTACATTTTAAATTTCTATTATTGTCACTTAGCAGACTTATGTACATGTATTTCATTAAGAGGTACATAGTATAAACGCCGCATGTGACCACATACGGCTTTCTTCTCTAGCAGAAGCGTTGAAATACGATGTTTTTAACAAATTAAATTCGTATGTGTTTACATGCGTTGTTTTAAATTAAACAACAATTAAATATTATTTGCAACACAATATATTAAAAATTGTAAAATACCCTGTAAAAACATCCAAAATATCATGTATAGGATGTACATGTTCTGGTTCTTCTATTAATTTCTGTTGAAAATGTAGCACATACTGCACATACGGCATTTTTACCTAGCAAAATCTTAAATTTATTAAGACAAAACAACATTTTCGACGCTGTTTTTATTGAAATTGCAATGTTTTCTAACATTCTTCAAATACATTAAAAAATATTTGTTTTTCGTTTGCCGTTACCGAAAAAATCAAGTTATTACCTTAATTAGTAAATGAATGACAGCCAAATGAAGTATGCCTAATATCTCTTTGCAATTTTCTCTAAACTGTCATATTCCGAAGTATATTATCGATGTATCTAGCAAATATTTTTTTAGAAATTGTTACTACGATTAAATTACTAACCTAACCTAGATGTTTATAAATTTAGTAATTTAACAGCAACAAGTACGTTAAGTAACTAGAGACATAATAATATCTATGTAAAAATAACAAAAATACCTATTATATTATTGATGTGTTGAATTCTGTTGGTTCTTAGTTAATAAACATAGTTTTTAATCTATATAATGCTTATTTGTTGATTTTTAAATACCAAGAATTATTTATATTTCATTTGATTAAATATAAACATTCCACAATAATAGCATTATTATTTTCATATATAAATACAGGGTTATCCATTTTGAGCTTGGGATAGTAAAGCCCTGCCAATTGATACTTGTCAAATGTCACTATCATCCAGACTGGTATTTGTTTAGTTAAAGGTTTGCCATTTCACAATATGGAACGTTTTACGACCGAACAAGCGTTAAAATTATTAAATTATGCTACGAAAATGGTAGATCTTCGGTGACCTTATTTCGCGCATTACGCGGAGATTATGATTGACATAATCGTCCATCCCAGCAAACAACCACCAATACAGTGACAAAATTCCAAGAGACTGAATCGGTAACAGACATCGTAAGACCTGTGCATCATCGTTTTGCCCATTCAACCGAAAACATAGCCGCTGTGAGTGAAAGTGTTAACTATGACCCGAATCATTCGACTCCAAGTCGAGCTCAGCATTTGGGCCTGTCATATGGCACATTCTGGCGCATTTTGCATTTGGACTTGCATCTTCATCCGTATAAAGTTCAACTCCCGTAAGAACTCAAGCCGGCTGGCCATAGATTGCGCCGTGAGTACACCAATTGGGTGCTAGAACAACAAACCACCGATCCTGATTTTTCGAGGAAAATCTTCTTTAGTGATGAGGCCCATTTCACGCTCGGCTGCTATGTTAATAAGCAAAATTTCCAAATCTCAGGTAGTGAGCAGCCACAAGTGACTGCTGAGAGACCATTGGACACGCAGAAAGTGACTGTGTACATTGTGGGCCGGCGGCGTCGTCGAGCCGTACTTCTTCGAGAACGACAAAGGAGTCACCGTTACCGTCAATTCTCAGCGGTATGCCGCCATGATCATCGACTTTTTTTTGGCCTGAAATTGAAGACTTTGATCTGGACGATATGTGGTTTCAACAAAATGGGGCCACATGCCACACAACGCAGCCAGTTATGGCTCTATTGCGCGAGAAATTCCCAGTACGCGTAATTTCGAAATTCGGCGATGTGGCTTGGCCACCAAATTCTACGAATTAACGCCTTTGGATTTCTTTTTGTGAGGCTATGCGAAAGACCGTGGTTATGCGAACAATCCCACAACTTTGGAGTAATTGAAGGACGAGATACGTCAAGTTATGGCCGAATTATTGCCCGAATTGTGTGAAAAAGTCTTCTAAAATTACCTCAAAAAGATTGAGTCCTGCAAACGGTTCCGTGGTGGACATTTGAATGATATCGTTTTTCACGCATAATGGCATAGTCCAAACTTTATTATGTAATAAAAGTTCCATCGAAATTTAAATATTCAATGTGTTTTTTTAAACTTTACTTTCCCAAGGAGAAAATGGATAACCC